GGGCGGGCGCGCTGCTCCTCGCTACCCGCCCCCGCGCCGATAATCCTCGAGCCGGGAGGCCCTTCTCCGGTGCAAGCGGGGGGGACGCGTCCCCCGCTCCTCCAGGCCGGGAGAAGAAGAGGGGGAAGGGGGGGCCCGGGGCCGCCCTTCCGCGTCCAGGTGCGGCCCCCCCCGGTCGGGGGTCGCGCGGAGGGCGGCGGGTCCGTGCGGGACGCGGGGCGGGCGAGGCGAGGGGGGGTCCCGGTCCCGGCCCCGTGCGGAGGCGTCGGCGGGCGGGGGGCGCTGTGTCCCCTCCCCGCCCCGCCCGGCCGCCCCTCGCTGCTGCCGCCGCTGGCTGTGCGTGGATGGTGTTTTCCTCCTCCTCCTCCTCCCGCTCCCGCTGCCGGCGCCGCCGCCTCGTCGGCGCTGCCCGCGGGGTGACGGCGGTGCGGGCGCGGCCCGGCCCGGGCAGGGAGCGCTGTCCGCCCGCGCTGTGCCGGCCGTGCCCGCAGCGGCCGCAGCTCCGCGCCCGCTCTGCCTCCTGCGCTCTGACAGCAATGGCGCCCGGGCCCGCACCGCGCCGCGCCATTGGTCCGCGCTGCACCACGTGATGCGGGCTCGGGGGCGTGGCCTCGGCGCAGGGGCGCCTCCCGCCGCCGCTGCGCTGCGCCCGCCGCCCGCTGGGGGCGCTCGGGAGCGGCGGGGGGGCCCCGGGTCGGGTCCCGACCCTCGGCACGGGAGCGCCGGGATGGGATGGGAATGGATTGGGATGGGATGGGCCGGGCCGGGCCGGGCCGCCACAGCAGCGCGAGGCTCTGCCCACAGAGGGGCTCGGACACTCAGCGGGCTGCCTGGGGGCCACTTGAAAGCCACAAAGTACCACGGGACATCAGAAAACCAGTGTCTCACTGGAAAAGGAAACAGAGTTTCACTCTGTGATGTTACAAGTTTACCAAACGGGCTTTTTTGTTTTTGTTTTGTTTTGTTTTTTGTTTTTTTCACTAAATAAATAAAGAACGAGATAAGAGCCACAAAGTACCACGGGACATCAGAAAACCAGTGTCTCACTGGAAAAGGAAACAGAGTTTCACTCTGTGATGTTACAAGTTTACCAAAGGGGCTTTTTTTTTGTTTGTTTGTTTTTGTTTTGTTTTATTTTTTGTTTTTTGGTTTTTTTTTTTACTAAATAAATAAAGAACGGGATAAGGAAAGTTACCATTTACTGTCTCTGAACCACACAGAATTCTCTTATTACCCATCAAGGAAAAGCAAAAAGAACAAACGTGCTGCCCAGACATTTGGGAAAGGTTTTCTTTTTCTTCGGGCACGGCCCCGAGGCTGCCAGAGCTCCAGGTGTTCTCGGAGAACGCCCTCAGGAACGCACGGGATGGGACTTTGGGGTGGCCCTGGCAGGGCCAGGAGCTGATGGATGTTCCCGGTGGGTCCCTTCCACCTCGGGATGTTCCGTGGCACGGGGACCCTGTCCCGTCCGCGGGAGGGAAGTGCCAGTCACGGGGGAATCACGATCCCGGCCATCCCGCCGTTCACCGGAGGGTTTTCCCAGCACCTGAGAGCGCTGACAGTAATTTTAAAAAGGCCCCAAAACCCGTCCGCGGTCACTGCCGCACCAGAGCACGCCGAGCTCCCCTTCACAGCCGGGTTTAACCCCGCGTTCTGCACAGCCCTGGGGCCGCCCGCGCTCACCTGAACAGCTTCGAGGACATTGCCCGGTGTCAGTTTTCTATAAAGGGAGTTCGAAAACACCTGAGTTAGACAAAGAAATGAAATTCACGGTCTGGAGAAGAGCCACAGACTATTCTGACTTGCAAGGGGCCTGCAAGGATCATGGAGTCCAACTCTTAAGATCATGCAAGAAAAAGAGATAAAAGAGATTTAAAAGAGGTTTAAAAGAGATAATTCATCACAAATAATGTTTGCATTGTTTGCAATGACCCGTTGATTTGAACCAGTGGGAGCAGATTTAAGCTCACCTGCCCCAGTTTCTTCCTGGCTGGAGAGTTCCACAGATGGTAGAAAGCAAATATGGTGCTTACCAGGTGAAGATATTGAGCATTTCAGCTTGAGCTTTAGTAGAGAAATGCAGCACATTTTCAATGATGTGATTCAGTGGAAAAAGTTCTTACTCAGTGCTCCATGGCAGCTTTCCTTATCATGATTTTAATCTCATTTAAGCGTCTTTTTTGCAATTTACTTTTCTTGGTAATAAATTAAGATTAGCATCTCTTGCAATGGCTGACTGGAGTTTGTTTGGATTTACCTCATAGTAACAAATCTCTCCCACAAACAGGCATCACATTTACCTGAATTACGTACACAGAGTAAGAAACAGAATTTAAGCCAAAAGAAAATTTCCACGCAGCTTAGAGTTCTTACTCTGTGTGTGTTTCCTCTGACAAATCCATCATCCATTCAATCCCTTCCCTGCCACATCAAGCAGGAATTCTCTCTTGCAAAGACTGGGCCTATACTGTGAGGAAAAATGTTTTCAAATACAAATTATTCAAGTTCAGTTACAATTGCAATTTATTCAGTCCAAGTGTCACAGCCTTGAAACTGCTTGTTACGTCCTGGCACCCGCAGTCAGGGAAGTACTTTGGCCCATGTTACTCCCCTTCCTTTTGGCACAAGTCTTATAAACAGAGAACACAATCTGACACTTGTAAATATGTCAAGCAATGTGTATTAACCACCCCCAAACCACATCCTTCCGCATTAAAATAGTACAGCTTTTGTAACTCCACTGCAGCACCACACACCCATCCTATCGCTACAGGAGGCCCAGGGACAACAAACCATTTGATGAAGTATCCATCCTATTTCTGGAATAAAAGAACATCCATTACCATGGAAAAAAATATTATTTTCTTATTATAGAAAATATTTTGGAATTGCAAATTGTGTTATTGCTTACCCAGATAAATACTGTGCAGGATTGGACTCTGCAGAATTCCTGTTCCTTCCATATGCTGCCTAGCCTCCAAATGGTGTTTCCAGTCAGCACCATTCCTCTTATCTGGATCCTTCAAGTAGTGGTGACTTATTATGCTTTATTTTGTCAGGAAAATGTGGGGTCCATTGATGATTCAGGTCCATTTTTGTGAGGAGAAATGTTAACATACTCATGCTGTGCTGCTTTGGCCAACTTCCAGTACTCTTATGAATGTTAAATACTTTATACATTAAAAATTGTGAAATCGTAGAATGGCCAGGGTTGGGAGGGGCCTTAAAACTCATCCAGTGCCACCCCCTGCCACAGGCAGAGACACCTTCCACTATCCCAGGCTGCTCCCAGCCCCATCCAACCTGGCCTTGGACACTTCCAGGGGTGGGACAGCCACAGCTCCTCTGGGCAACCTGTGCCAGGGCCTGCCCACCCTCACCATAAGCAATTTCCTCCTACCATCCAATCTAAATCTCCCCTCCTTTAGTTTTACTAAAAATCATGCAATGCAATTCAATTACCTGTTTTGTGGCAATGTTCTGAATTTGAGTAGCTGGTTCTTGTATTTTGGAATTAGTACTGGTCACACATTTTGACCACGGCCCTGCGCTGCCAAGTCCATTTTGGCTTTAAACTGAAAAAAAGGTAAAATTTCTTTTCAAGTACCCTTTGCCAGGTACTTGACTTTATATTGCATTCAGTTATCACAGAGAAGGGAAATCATTACAGCCTAATCCTTCCCTTCCCAGTACCAGACTAGGGAAGTTCTCTTGCTGTCCCTGACAGCAGCACTATTTCAAACAGACACCGTTCCACTTACAGATATCACACACAAGTGACACTTCCTTGTGCATAATTACCTGAGATGGTATGTGGTGGAACGCGTTCCTCAACCCAGGGCATTCCAGTTTTATTCCCTGTTTTCTTTTACCTCTTTTCAAAAGTCAATTAACATGAAGAGTAACACTGGGGCTTCTACTATACAAAATAACCATTTTTCCATAGTGGGAAGATACAGTCTTAATTAATGCTCCCAATGGATTAATTTGCAATTCCAAAGTTTAGCCACTGAAAGTTCCCAAGCTCGTGGAGATCAGCTGGGTCAGTCTCAGCCTTCAGCACAAAGAGCTGAGAATGAGCCAGCCCTCACCTTGACAAAATTACTCCAAACAGTGATAGCCCAGCTTACTCCATTCTAGAACAAGTTACCAGAGCTCAGAGCAATGATGAAACCTGCTCTTCCAGGAGGATGGCTCAGCACTTCCATAGCCTTTGCTTTCACCAGCAGGTGCTGCTTAAACTTCAAACTAGACATGGGGGAAGACACAAAGGTGTCACAGGAGGCTCCAGCAAAGATGGAATAGTGAACTGGGGCTTGGCTTTGTTTTGTCCCAAAGTCTGGCCCCTTTGCTGTACACCCAGTCCATGGGAAGAGCATTTCCTGGAGGAACACAGCTGGCTGGAGCAGCAGGCTCAGACAGGGCTCTCCTGTCCCTGGGTGTAGAATTTGGCCCTTCTCACACCAGGAGCAGAACTGGAGTTCAGCCAAGCTTTGCCCATGTCAAAACTCAGCAGCACTGAACATTCCATGACAAAGACAACTCATCTCCAGGTGAAACATATTTTTCCATGCATTTTAGCTGAACATTATGGTTACTCACTGGAACAAAGTCCAGTGGCTGCAGTGCCACTAAGGATTGCTTTGTGTCTCATTTAATCAAGTATTATTTTTGCTGTTTTCTGTGTTTTCCTCCCCTGTAATGGAAAGAATAGGGAGGAGAGGATGATATGACACCCAAATTATGAATATCACACAAGCAAGTGATCTCCAACTGTTCCATATAGGAAAAAGCAAAAAATAATTCTGTTTGTCCCTGCTCTTGGGTTGCCCTTAAATGAATTGTACTCAAGTGAGCAAGTTTATTGTCAAGGATTAAAAGTCACAGAATTTTAGAAGATTTTGACCATGATTTATGTAATCTCTTTTTGTATGTTCTCGTGATACAGCACAGCTGAGTAGCCTCACACCGGGTATGTTCTCAG